CCCATGAGGACTGACACACACCCCGCATCACACGGATACAGTGAGGACAGGGTCCCGAGCCTGGATGTGGCCCCAGCAGCGCTCCAGGGGGAGGAGACCGGGCATCAGCTGGGAAGGGGGCCAGAGCCTGGGGGGCAGAGACCCCCCCCCGGAGCTCCCAAACCAGGACGCTGAGGGCAGGGTAGCTTGGAGGCGGCCCGCCCCTTCCTCACCATCAACGCCCAAAAAACCCCCCTACCCCCCGCCATCCCCACCCCGGTTAATGAAAATGGGACAGATCCAGTAATCACACTCTGAGCTATTTTCCCGAAGGAGCTGAGGACTTCTGTCCACACAAAACGCACACACGGATGTTCACGGCAGTTTTATTCATAATGGACAAGACCTGGAAGCAACCAAGACGCCCTTCAGTAGGTGAATGGGTGAACGGTGGGCCGTCCAGACGGTGGAATATTATTCAGCACTGAAAAGAAATGAGCCATCAGGCCATGAAAAGACACGCGGGAACCTTAAATGCATGTCACTAAGAAGCCAATCTGAAGAGGCTACGCTCTGTGTGATTTCCAACTACATGACATTCTGGAAAAGGCTGAACTACAGAGACAGTAAAAACATCAGTGGTTGCCAGGGACAGGGAGGGAGCGGGGGATGAACAGGTGCAGCACAGAGGGTGTTTAGAGCAGTGAAGGCATTCTGCATGATATTATAATGGTGGGTACACGTCATTACACATGTGTCCAAACCCATAGGACGTGCACCGCTGAGAGTGAACCCTAACGTAATCTGTGGGCTTTAGTTGATAATCGTGTGTCACAGGGGTTCAACTGTAACACACGCGCTGCACTGCGGCGGCCAGATGTTAGTAAGAGGGCAAACTGGTTGAGGGGAGGACTCTCTGTACTCTGTCCTCAATGTTCTGTGAACCCGAAACTGCTCTAAAAAATAAAGTCTATTAACTAAAAGAACAAAGCAAAACCGGGGCCCAGCTATGCAGCCCCAGCTTCAAGACCAGCCCCCAGCCCTGGCCAAGCCTTCAGGGGCTCCGCCACTCCCAAGAGAACCCCCCAGGCTGGAGGACCCCCGAGGCCGGGCCCTGTCAAGCCAGCTGTATCCACTCCCCACTCCTCCAGCCCCAGGGACTCAGTCCTGTCCTCCCCTCTGCTGGCCTGGAGCATGCTGTTCCCTGCCTGGACACCCTTCCGTGCATTCCTCTCGCCCCAGCCGACGGCCGAGGTCCCCACGACCACCTGCCCCAGTGCTTTACTTCCGGACCTTCCGTCTAGCGCTTGTGAGAACCTCTGGGCAGGCCTGGCAGGACGGCCTGCTCACCTTGGCTAGTGGGCAGCTGGGCACAAACCAGCATGCAGGGGGACCCCCGACGGCAGCAGGAGAGTGGGCGCAGACCCGGCGTGGGGAGGCCCGGCGATGCGGCTCCCATCCCCGTGGTTGCCGGACCCGAGGATTCCCCAGCTAACCAAGCACTAGGAGAATCCTGGGGACACTCCAGTGACACATGTGGCTCCAAATGGGTGCAAAGGGGCCAACCGGTCCTAACCCGGACCCGGCCACCCAGCAAACCCCACACGCTCCAGCACTCGGCCTGAGACGCCCGGCCTCCCAACACTTGTTTCATCACCACTCCCCCAGGGAGAAGCGCTAATTCAATTGAAACTTAAGTAATTAAATTAATTAATGAAAATTTAATTGTCCCCTTGCGAGAGAGGCAGGGAGAGTCTGTCGGGAGGGCCGGGCTGTGAAGGACCACAAAGCACGGCAAAGTGTTGCCCCCCCTCCTCCCACGGGAGAAGCCATCCGCTCGCTTGTCCTCCAGGACATCCCCGGGATCAGCCCGTCCACCCCGACTCTGCTCTCTGCTCTCTCCTTGTCCGCCTCTGGCTCCCGGGGACAGGTGAGCCCAGGACACAGCGCAGTCTCCACACGGTGCCCCGAGCTCCTCTGAGACCACCACGGGCCGCCCACAGCCTGTGCCGTCCTCACGCTGCAGAGCCTTCCCGTCCCGCACCAGCCCCGGGCTGCCGGCAACTGGGCCACGAGGCCAGTGGACGCTGCTTCCTCACCGGTCAGCAGATCGTGGGCTGCGGAGCCTCCACGCCGGCCCTGGGTCCCAGCCCTCGTGGTGGGACGGGAAGGGGCAGCAGGGACGCCTCGGAGGGGATCAAGTCTCTGTCACCCCAAGCCTGACGCTGGGGTCCCCGGTCCTGAGGCCCACAGTCAGGGCCAGCACTTCCTGCAATGCTCACCTCTGACCACGCCCTCTCCCTACGACCCCCGAAGCGGTGGGGGGGGGTGTCACACTCAGCTGCCCTCTTGATACCAAGAGACTTGGGCAGAACTGCCTGCCACGTGTCCTGAGGGACCATCTGAACTTTGGAGGCGTGACGCTCCTGAGACGGACGGTTCCCCAGGCGCACGGGGACGGTACCTGCTGACCGGAGCGGACGCTCACCTCTTCTTAGGGGCCACATGGGACCTAAACTAGCCCCTCAGTCCCCGACAGGGTAAGCAGGAGGGCCACTCTAGGGGACGGTCTGACAGCCACTGGGCCCCAAGCCCCCCTCTCTTGCTGCCACTGGGGGAGGACGGCAGGTGGCGTCGAGGAGGCCACGGGAAGCAGACCTGGCTCTGAGCAGGGCGCCAACGGGCAGCCCCGAGTTCCTGGTCCGGGCAAAGGGCAGAAAGTCTGGGGCGCAGCCTCTGCTGGGGGCTGCCCGGCTTCTGCCCAGCGTGGGCAGCACACACCTCCTCGCCAGGGCAGCTCCCAGCGGGCCCTCCACCAACCAGAGACATGGGTTCCCTCCGGGGACGTCTGCAGGGCAGTGGTCCCCTCTCTGTGTGGTGCGAGGAGACACCTGCCAGAGAAGGAGCCTCGCCCTGTCCGGGGGGCACTGAGGGGGCCGGGGTTTTGGAGCGGAGGCTCCTCCCAGCCCGGCTGCCCCAGGAAGAAGACTGGAGTGTCTGAGGCCATCGCACACTCCCCGGGACAAAGAGAGGAGGGCGGTGTCACTGTCACTGTCGGCATCCTTCAGACACCTGGGAGAGAGGTGCACTTCAGGGGCCCTTCCCCTGCCCTGGGGCGAGCCCGGGACCTCCAAACGGAGCTGGCAGGAGACCGGACGCAGCACAGAGCAGGCCACTCGGCAGACAGCCTCGCCTGAGGGAGTGAGGACGGGGCCTCAGCTGCGGGTGCCGGGTCCTGGGCGCCAGACAGAAAGAGGGACAGGCCAGCGGCAGGTGGGCCTCCCCCCACCCAGGCGTCCGCTGTGTGACTGAGGCTTTCCTGGGGGCACCGACCCCGTGAGTCCCCTTCCCCATCCACTGCCCCTTCTCTCTGCCAAGCATCACCAAGAGGACAGGGCACCGATTCCCTCCGCCCCTCCCTCAAGAGGTTTCGGGGTACAGACAGCAGCACCCCCTTTTATGGTGGTAAAATGCACATCACATAACATTCACCATCGTAACCATGTCTAAGCGCACAGCGCAGGGGCAGCCGCCACCACCTCCGTCTCCAGGACCTTCTCATCTCCCCAAACTCTGTCCCCACTAGGCACTCACTCCCCTTCCCCTCCCCCAGCCCCTGAGCCCCACCATCTACTTCCGTCTCTATGGCTGTGACTCCTCTAGGGACCTCACATACGTGGATCCTACAGGATTCGTCCTTTTGTGACTGGCCAGCTTCACTCAGCATAATGTCCTCAAGGTCCACCCACGTTGCAGCCTGTGTTGGGATTTCCTTCCTTTTTAAGGCTCGCTTGGGTCCCAGGTCCACCCCCGCAGATGGGCCGGGAGTGGGAGCTTATAAACGCCAGGGTGGGCGGGGCAGGAGGGCGGGAGGAGAGCCAGGCAGGCTGGCCAGAGACGGCGGGGCAGAGGCAGGCCTGGGCCCTTTGCCCACAGACAGCCGGCTGCCCACACAGGGTCCCTGTGGGTGGGCGCTGATCCGTTCAGCCCGCTCTGGGTGGACACACTTGCTCCCCCACTAGGCCCTGCCCCTCCTTGCGCTGGTGAGGTTGGCGGTCCTCCCTCTCTCCTTCCAGCTCCAGGTGATAGGGCCTGCAAGTCTGCTGGACGCCCCTGTTCCCCACCCCCTCCCTCCCTCCTTCGTCCACGGACCCCAGCAACCCAGTTCCTGCAGATGCCCTTCCCCTCAGCCTCCTGTCCCCGCAGCTCTATCCATGTCCTGGGCCCACGTCCCGCTGCGCAGTGCAGCCCGGATGGAAGCGCCCGTTCGCCTGTCTGTCCGGCCCTGGAGCCCCTGGGTGCCCCACCTGAGCCCTGCAGGATGCCTGTGGGCGTGGACGGGGGTGGGCAGTGAGGACGCCACCGGCCTCCGTTGGGACAGAGCCCCAGGGGACCCTGGTTCAGCCTGCGTCCCTGTGGCTGTACCTCCTCCATGACTCCGGGATGGCCGAGCGGGAAGGACCAGGCCCTTTAGAGAGGAAGGCCAAAGCTTGACCACCTCATCACAAGAAGGCAAGTCAACACGTCACCGTTTCTTCTAATAAGGTTCTAATATTTGGCGGGTGCGTTTTGCTCTGAGGTGAGCTTTTTAAATACCCGCATTAGGTCGTCAGAGATTGAACACATATATCACTCAGCAGGCGCCCCCACCCCCCCAGGCCAACTGGGGGAAGCGGGTCCCAAACGCCTGACTTGCTGAGGAACCCTGGGTCTGGTGTCACATTCTGCAGGTGCCCCGGGGACAGAGGGCTGGTCACCCGACCCCCCTCCTCCACCCCTCCTCCACATAGATGCTGCACGCCGATTCCACCATAGCCCCGAGGCAGGTCCCAGGAGCTGAGGTGGGGTCCCCGGGGTCGGGGGTGAGCTCCCACACCCCAGAAGCCCCTTCTGGCCCAGGCTCTTTACTCTACCCACGACAAACGCCCCTCAGCCTCGTGACTTCCACGTCTAAACATGCAGAGACAAAACCACGACACGCCCGCCTGACGGTATTAAAACATCGCTCTTAGAAATGTATCACCAGCTAGAAACTATTCTTCTAGGAGGAAACATGCAGATTGGGTTTAATAAACCATTCTGATTCTAACAGCATTACGGGCCCAGGGGGGAAATTGGAAAACCACAGACAAATACGAAGAAAGAGCGAGGGTAGCACCCACGGCCCGCCCCTGGGAGACTCCGGCGCGCCGGGTACCTTCTTTCCAGACTTTCTGCTCTGCCGTTTCCCACCGCGGTTGGAAGAGGCAGCTTGGGGTCCGGCCTCCTCACTGTGAGCCTGTCCCGCGTCCTTTCAGGGGCAGCGCCCGGCCCTGACCGCCTGGACGTCCTCACTGCTCCCCGAGCCTCTGCTGCAGACATGGCCGTTGCCGGCTGTCCCCAAGGAGAGGCTCCCGGACGCTGCACCCACGGCCCCTCCCTGGGCTCCGCTCTGGACTTTTTCCCCTTTGTCATTTGTTCATGAACTTCCTGAGAAATGGAATTTATTAGTTTGATGACACTGATTAGTCAGTAAAGGAGGTAAAAAATACAGGTGGAATGGGCTTAAAAATCATAAAAGTTGTAACTGGAAAGAAAGTTGGAAGCAATCTAGGCTTTTTTTGTCTTTTTTTTAAATTTGGGGATGAAACTCACATACATAAAATGAACTGCTTTCAGGCGCGCAGTTCAGCGGCATCTCACTCACCCACGGTTCCGGCAGCCACCACCTCTCTCTAGGGCCAGCACATCTGTGTCGCCCCCCAAGGAGACCCCTCCCGTCAGCGGTCACCCCCACCCCCTCCCCAGCCCCCAAAAACCACTGACCCGCTTGCCAGCTGTGGACCTGCCTGTTCTGGACGTTTCGTGTAAGTGGACTCACAGGCTGTGCGGCCCTTTGTACCTGGCTTCTTCCATCTGCCATCCAAGGTCCATCCGCCTGCAGCCCGTCCGGAGAAACCGTGGGCCTTGGGAGCTGCGGGACCACGGTTTCCCCTGCCCCAAGGGTGGCCCAAGGGTGGGTCACACTCGAGGCGTCCCCTGCAGCCTGGCAGGGTCAGCGCAGCAGCTCGGGCACTGGACATCGCCGCCCAGAACAGGGCCCCCGCTCCCCAGACACGATGCCGGCAGAGAGGCTGCCCCTTGGGTCACCTCCAGAGGCCGCCGCATCCCTGACAACCCGCAGAAGCCACGGGTCGGGGTTCGGAAGCTGCTGGGCTTCCAGCGCTGCCCCCACCAGGCGCGCGGAGAAAGGATGAGCAGATCCCAGCCCGGAGACCACGGGCGTGAACTCGGCGCGGAGGCCCTGTAGACACATCTTGAAATAATCACGCTGAGAGCAGCCGATTCTCGGATTCTGGGCAGGCAGCCCGCACCTCGCTGCGCCCGCCCGCGTGACAGGATGCAGCTGGGGGGTGGGGGCCCTGCCTGGAGCGGGGAGGGGCTCTCACAGGGGCACCGGGAGCCGCGATGAGCGCGTGAATACCTCCTGGAGGAGGTAAGGGTTTCGCGTCAAACACGCGAGTTGACCGTGTGTCAGGCATCCCCCGGGGGCTGTTCTCCTGAAGGCTGGCTGGGCACCTACACCTATACTCGGCGGCGGCAAGATGTGCAGAAGAAGAGATAGAGCAAGCAGGGTGCCTGGACCCCAGAGAGAGGGCGTCTGCCGTCAGCAACGACGGGCAGCGCTGCTGGTCGGGGCTGGGGTGCCAGGGCCCTTTCCTGGGGTCTCGGGGCTGAAGGGGGTCGCTCTCCAGGAAGAGGATGTGGCCGAGAACAGCCGCCCCCGGGGCCTCTGCAGGCACATCCAGCCCGCCACCTTCTTGGCTGGAAGGCCCACCTGGGGGGAGAAAGCCCAGCCTGGCTTTCAACAGCCCAGGGCAGGAGGACACAGCCCCCAGCCTCACGCCGCGTTAAGGGGGTGGACGGAAGCGCCTGTCCCTGTGGTTACAGGGGTCCCCTGCAGAGAAGTTGCTGCGTGACCCAGACATTCAGGTCTACCCAGAACATGTGCTCGTGACCTCATTTGGAAAAAGCGTCTTTGCAGATGGGACTGAGGGTCTCGAGACAGGATCACTGGGCATCGGAACGGGGCCAAGAGCCGGGGCCCAGGTTCGGTTCAGCTGAGCATCCCTGAGGGGCTGGGTCTACGCAGAGACACGTGGGCAGGACGCCAGCCCAAGTGGGCACTGTGGGGTCAGTGCCTGCTGTGGGGCACAGGCAGGCCACACGATCAAGGGCCACCCTTGGGGGTGAGCGACAGAACCCTTGCCCCCCATCACCAAGTAATAGCCTCTGACAGGTTTCTGTGCTCTTTGGAAGAAGCTAAAGATTTCGGAGAGTCCCAGCCTACGATTTCACGTGTTGAGGCGTCTCTGCTCCGCCCTCCAACCTGTCCAGTCCCCAGTCCCACTGCGCCTGCCCTGGAGCCCTCAGGCCCTGCCCAGACCTGCTGGCCCGGGCTGGCTGCGGCCCCTCCCTGGGCTGTAAACAGGGGCTGAGCACCCACGCCACCCTGTGTCTGCTGGCTAGGCCTCCGAGCCCATCCCCAGGGCGGGAGGGCTGCCTGGGCAGAGAGCAGCCTGAGGGGCACGCGGGTGGGGGGGTGGCCTGCAGAATCAGTCTCTCCCGTGGGGGGCCCCGGCCTTCTCTGAAAGCTGCCGCTTCCATCCTGGGACCAATCTGAGGAGCCTCGGTGCGAGAGCCGCCACTTGGAGAACGAGGTGCAGCGGCGTCACGACGCGGGGTGCGAGTGCTGCCGGGAGCAGCTCAGAAGGCTCAGAGCTGGGGGCGGAAGGGAGGGCACCTCCTCTCCTTCACAGGAGGCGGGACGGGCTCTCACGAGCAAGGACCGCAGGCCCCTCTCCTTGGGCAGCCTTGTGGGTCCGGGTGGGCGAGGGTGGGAGGGAAGCCGGCGGGGCCCATGCTCACCCCAGCCCTGCCCCCAGGGCGCAGCCAGCAGTGCAGGCGGCTCCAGGTCCCCAGCCCCCATCCCGGGCTCCCGGGGCAGCAGATGGCAGGCCAGCCTCAAGGCCAGGCCCAAAGTTCCGTCCTGAAGGCCGGCGAGTGCGCGCTGGGCTGCAGCGACTGCCCCGCAAACAGCCTCCGGGTGCAGCTCCCTCAGCCTCTCAGCGTGCTGGCCGCCAGGGGTCAGGACAGGCCGGCCCTGCTCCAGAGCCGGGGTCCTGGCGGGAAGAGCAGCTGGGGTGCAGATGCTGGGGCCGGAATCACGCCCAGCGTGGTGGGGGACTCTGGCCGTCCCCTAAGTGCCCCGCATGGTCCCGGTGCGTGGCCTGGGCATTCTCACGGCCTGCCTTCCGCGGGGCAGTGGGGCTCCTTCCGTGGCCCTCAGGACAAGAGCAAGTCCTGGCAAGAGGGTGGCCCCTGTGACCGGCCTGGGGGGCCGGCGGTCACCTTGCTGACCCCACACCTCACACATGAGCCTCAGGTGGGTGTCAGAGACCCTGCTCCACAGGAGGCGGTCCCACAAATCTGTGGCCATGGGTCCCCCAGGATCCGGAGGGTTGGAGTCACAGTTTGAAGGGAGGAGGGGCTGACTCCAGGCCTCAGAGCCTGGGGGCAGAGCTGGCCGGGACCCCCACTCTTCCTGGCCCAGCCTGCCCTTGCTGGCTCCAGCGTCCCCGCCCTGAAGTGACTCATGGGCTTTCTGAGACCCTGAAACAGACCCCACAGGGCTCTTCTCTGGAAGGAGACCAAGCGGAGAAAAGCAGCTCTGTCCTGGCCTGTCTAGGGGGCATCCGATGCCCAGCTTCCTGTCCACTCACCAGGGGCTCTGCCCACTTGGCCTGCCCCGTCTCAGCCCCCAGCTTCCTTCCCAGTGACACCAAATCCCCGGCCCAGGGCCCCTGGTCGCACGTGTGACCTCAGCAGGGCTGGCACCGCCCACACCTAGGGTGCAGAGCTGCTCGGAGGCCCTGGATCACCGGGGGCTGGGGTGGGGCGTGGGGGAGCCCACAGGTTGGGAACATGCCTGGCACTCAGCCCTGACGCTCCCCCTGGACAGCACACACACACATATGTGCACATGGCCTGGGCGAGTCCACTTCGGAGCTCACTTCGGCCAGACTAGGGAGAAAGAAGCTTCTGGTGACACAGAGCCATGCTCTGGACAGGTCGGTTTTGTCAAGCGTCGTCATCGGGAAGGAGGTGCCCGGGCTGGGGTGTGGCAGCCGGCAGCGGGCAGGGCTGAGCACACAGGCTCCTGCCCAGCACGCTGCTCTCGATTCTGAGACCGGCCCCAGGCTGGACTCTTCAGTGGGACAGGGCAGTCACTGTGCAGTGCGGGTGAGGAAGCAGAGGTCATAGAGGCGACACCACGTCACCCAGCCGGTAGAGCTGCGGTCCCAGTACAGCAGCCGGGCCGCACGCCTCTCCGCCCGCCCTCGCCTGCGGGAGCACCTGCTTGCCTACACGTGGCGAGAGATGGGATGCGGCCAGGCGACGGGGCCTGGGTTGTGCTGCCCAGGGTCCCTGGGTGAAGCAGGAAGATGCTGGATTCCAGTTCTCAGCGGGAGAGCCATCGGTGGGTGCGCTGAGCCCAGCGCCATCCTACCTCCCCCCAGGTGCAAGCAGCCGCCACACCGAACCCAGCCCCCGACCCCAGGAAAGCCTGGGATGGGTGGGGCACCCCGGTCACCCCACAGCCTGGGAGGCACCCTCTGAATAGTGAGGAGGCCTGGGCCGCTCAGGATCACCTACGGGGGTCCTGCTTGCAAACACGGTTTCTTTCAAACCTGCAACCTCCCAGACACCGGCTGCTGGGGCTACGAAGCTACGAGTCCTTCCCCCAGCCCAGGCCCTGCCCAAGAAGACACACTGACGCATGCGCAGGTTGTCAGGGGGCCCGCGCAGTGTGGCGGGGAGACGGAGCAGCCAGCACAGGGCGCCGCAGGGCGCAGGGTCCAGGAGCAGAGCCCACAGCTGGGGCCTGAGGCCCAGCGGCCTCCACACCCACCGGGCTGGACTGCAGCCCGGCAACAGGCCAACTCCAGGGCTCCCCCAGTCTACGCACGGCCTCCACGGGCTGCCTGGCCAGACGTCCCATCAAACGTTTCCTGAGTGCCACCAGGGCCCGCTGGTCCTAGAATGGGGACACGAGAGGCCAGCCCTGCTGGACACTCCCCACGCACTTGCTGAGAGTGAGCCGGGCCCCTTCTGCCCTCAGACTGCTGTGGCCAGGAGCCATGCTGCAGGGGCGGGGCCACCTCTCCACATGCCACAGGACAGGCTCGAGTGCCCCTGAGGGGCGGGTGCAGGAGCAGAACTGCGGCACGGGGCCTGCCGCCCGCCGCCTCTCGGGCTCTGGGTTGGAGGAGGACTTTCTCTGTGGAGGGTTGAGTCAGGGGACCGACAGGGCGAGGGACAGTCCTTGCAGAGCAGAAGCCGTTTATTCCCCGCTGCAGCTCCTCCCACGACTCCCCAGCCCGTTCAAACCATGCAGGTGAAAACCGGACCTACCTCGCGAGGACAGGCCTGGGGGGCGGGGGAGCCTGGCGAGCGAGGAGGGGTGTGGCCTGGGGTGTGGCCCGCAGGGGGCGAGGCCTTGATGGGCGTGGCCAGGAGGGGCGCGGCAGAACGCAGGCCTACGGAGGAAGAGCCCACTGGGAGTGGCAAACTGATTCTCTCCCACGAAGGGCCCGCAAGTGCGCTGAGCTTCCCACGTCACCAAAGCAGGGTGGGAGTGTTCAGCCGCTCAACAAGCTCGGGGCATCCAGGTCACAGGGACGGCAGCAGACAGCGCCAGCCGGGGCCTGGGCACGGGGAGCAGTCCCCGCAGGAACGCTCTCCAAGGACTCACCTGTCCGGAGCCCGGACGGTTCCCTGACTCAGCCCTCCACAGAGAAAGTCCTCGGCCCACCCAGAGCCCGAGAGGGGGCGGGCGGCAGGCCCCGTGCCCTGGTCCTGGAGCGGCAGGTGGCCTCAGGCCGGGCGGGGCCGCGGTTGTGCGCTCTGAGCGGCGCTGCACAGGACGGCGTCTGCAGGCTGACCACTGGGGAGGTGTCCACGAGCCGCCTTGCCTTCTCCCCGCTCCTAACACCAAGCACCCAGCGTTTGGATTGGGAACGACACTGGGTCCCCACGTCGGCCACGCGGCCGCGAAAGCACTGCCACCGGGTTGATGTAAGCCTGATGCTCTAAGGAACCGTCAGGGGAGCGCGTCACTAGTAACTGTCAAGCTTCATGACCTGGAAAACTGGAGCATGCACCTGACGTCCCCGCAGAGCAGTCACAGCCACCTCCGCCCGGCAAGGCTGTGCCGCGTGGGGCGAACGGAAGGGACCCTTCGGGAGGCGCGTTAGGCGTGCAGGACGTTGAAGGTGAACCCACTACCCTCGTCCGCTCCTGTTTCTTCTATCACTGGACCCTCCACACACCTGGCCCTGCCCTCGGGTCGCAAACCCTGAGCAGCTTCCTTGACCTGCGCGGCTTTTTCCTTGGGCCGCCGGGCACCACGCAGCTGAGGCCTCGCATGACGTCATCTGGGCCTGGAAACTAATTCTGCTTCAAACTCATTGTTTGTGTGGACGGAAATAATCGATAAACAATCTGTAACAGGAATGGAAAGGAGTTTTACTCAAGTCGAGCTGAGGACCATAGCCTGGGAGACAGATTCAAGAAGCACGTGAATTGCGTCCTCCGGACTATAAGAGGGGGGAGGCCCGTAAAGGGAAACCCCGCAGAATCGCATCAGGTGTTTGTCACGTTAGGGCTGGAGCGGGCAGAAAGGAAGGGCGCTCGGGTCGGCTGGGGTTCGGAATGCACAGTGACCAGGGGAGACCTTGAGACCGTGAGGGCGCAGGTGGCGGCGACTAGCAAACGGTTTTGAGGACAGCTGGTGATGGCCCTGGGTCTCACACAGGTCAGAAAATTCAAGTTCTCGGGGCTTCCCTGGTGGCACAGTAGTTAAGACTCCACGCTCCCAATGCAGGGGGCCCAGGTTCGATCCCCAGTCAGGGAACTAGATCCCACATGCATGCCACAACTAAGAGTTCGCATGCCGCGACTAAGGAGCCTGCCTGCCGCAACTAAGACCTGGTGCAACCAAATAAATGAATAAATACATACATATTTTTTTAAAAAAATGAAAGAAAGAAAATTCAAGTTCTCAAGACTTCCCCGGTGGTCCAGTGGTTGAGAATCCTCCTTCCAAGGCAGGAGACTCGGGTAGCATCCCTGATTGGGGAACTAAGATCCCACATGCCGCAGGGCAACTAAGGCTGCACACTGCAACTACTGAGCCCACGCGCTCTAGAGCCAGTGCGCTACAACTAGACAGAAGCCCACGGGCCGCAACTACTGAGCCTGTGCGCCACAGTGAAGATCCTGCGTGCCACAACAAGACCCAACACAGCCAAATGGATAAGTAAATGTTTTTTAGAAAAGAAAGAAAATTCAAGTTCTCGGTGAAGCAGGGACTGTCTGAAACCACATCCACAACGGCCCCCAGCTCCATCCTCGAAGCCTGAACCACAGAGACTCCATTTTGATTGTCAAATGCATCCTTTTCTTCAATGCTTAAAGCAGAAGCGCGTGTTTGAGAGGCCATCAGTTCAAGCCAAATCACGTATGAGCCAAAATGGCCTCCCCACACCTCAACGTGTGACCACTTCGTCAGTCACACACACTCTTTAATTCTAGGAATTTTCTAGGAATGCCACTGCTGCGTAAACCACGGGGAAAATGTACTTTGCAGCGTTGGTGACTTTGTCAAGCCCCGAGGCCCCTCCTGAGTCAGTCACCAGGGGCAAATCCTCCCCAGTATTTGAGTCAGAATTCCACGTTTGTCTTGGCCTGAATGTGTTAACCACCAAGAGCAGAGGGACTGCTCTGTAAGGAATGGACAACTTCATCTTCTCCTTCTGCAACAGCCGTACCTGAGGATCTCATGTTCCTGTTATGGCATTAAAGTGACTTTTTAAACTAGGCATGTAATTAGGTTACAGTTTCTGGGAATTTCACCACAGACAGTAAAGGAGGCATTCAAGGGTATTTGCTATAAAGGGAGTGTGAGTCCTAAGGGCTGCAAAGCCCGGTCGCCCCACCATCACCACGCCCCCAGGCTCCCGCCCGCCCCTGGCCACCCGTGGGCAGTACCCCACCCCCCAACCGGGACACAAGCCTCCAACCCCAGGCTCCCTGGACTGCATGCAGGCCTCGGCTGCAGAGGCCTCCCCTTGGGCATCTTTCCCACACCGCAGGGGCCACCTGAGACCCACGTGAGGCGCACAGGAAGAAAAGGTCTTCCAGGAACCATGGTGAAGGGTATCAGACCGCAGGGCCATGGGCTGGCTCATCACAGGTGTCCCCCCTGCAGGCGGGTGCGGTGGGCCCAGGGCGGCCGCAGCGAGCGGCCCCACACGGGGAAGGAAACGTCGTAGGAGGAAGAGCCCAGGCGGGCTGCCAGCCGCCCGGCAGACGCCTAGCTACCACGGTCCCCTCCCTGCAACCTGGAAGAAGCAACGTGGAACTGTGTCTGCAGGAGGCTGGCCGTCCAGGGGAGTCAAAGGGACAGGATTTCTTTGACCAAAATGAGTGGCCAGTGCACGGGCGTCTGAGAAGGGGGATCTGACCTGCGCACTGATCTTTTCTAACCAAGGGACCCCCTTAAACATCTGCCAGGAAAGAAGGTGCCCTCGGTGAGTCTGAGGCCCATCCGCACCCACACATGTCCGCACTGGCGCGCACCAGGCCAGCCCCCCGGATGGCGCGGCTGGTCAGTTTCTCATTTAAAAACACAGATAATGTTTAAAAAAAACGGCGGCCAGAGACAGGCAGGGCAAGTCCCTGTGGCGCTCAGCTTCCACCGTCGGAGACTCGGGAACGCAGGCCGGCTAGGTGACCGCACGGTCCCTCGACTCCAAGTAAGACATGCGAGTCCGCCAAGAACGCGTCAGCGGGGCGGCAAGCATCCCGGGTGAGGAGGCGCGTGTGCTCTGTGTCGAGAGTGCGAACGCCACCAGGACGCACGCAGCTTCCTCTGTGGCACTGAAATAAGCCCGAGACACAAAATTGGAAAAGGGGAATTTATTTATTAAAGAAAAGTCGTCTGCGAGTTCTTCTACTTAAGTTAGTACCCTTGACGTTAACACTTTGGATTGAAACATGCCATCTTTCAAATAACAAGTGGACTCTACAAGCAGCGCCTACAGGTCAATTCAAGTAGCGTTTCAAGAGCCCAGAGGGACACTGGAGGGAGGTGACCCCTTCCCGGGGTGACGACCTTGTCTGTAAACACTGTCAGAGGTTAGAGGCACGGCCGAGCGCGCTGCCGCCACAGAGGTTTTTCAGCAGGAAGATCCAAGCACGAGTGTGGCCTGGGTGCCCAACACCCAGGGTGGGGCCCCCTCCGGCCCGCCCTTCTCCCCTCCCCAGCCCAGGGGCACCCCGGGGTCTGCCCGCTCTTCCCAGCCCTCGGCTGGGAAGTAAGAGGCCGCCTTCCTGGGCCCGGCGGCTGGAGCACGCAGCCTACGTGCGGTTCAGGGTCTGGAAGATGCGGGAGATCTGCAGCATGACTGGGCCCGTCTCGGGGTCGTTCATCCACTGGGTGCTGTTCAGCGGGCTCTCGAGCATGTCTTCAAATGCTGCGGGGACACGACGGGGCTGCCTGAGGGACCGCACCCCACAGACCCGGACATGGGGCTGCCGGAACTAAAGGGGACGTCCTCTATAGCCAGGGGCCCAGAAACCCCTTCTAGCCGCCATCCGACAGTGTCTGGTCTGCTGGTTGAGGGAGCTGACACAGGGCACTGCTGCTGGCAGGGCGGGGCGGCATGCCCGCGCGCTCACGGGCACAGTGACTCTGGAAAGCGGTTTGGCATCAGCTACCGGGAATCTTAAAATAGTGACAGCCTGTGACTCAGTAACTCCACTTCCAGTCCTACCCTGACAAAACAGTCAGACGCAGAAAAGACTTACGTAAGGATACTGTTGCCGATTTAATAATACCTGATTGGAAAAATCAGAACGTTCAATGTTAAGGAATGACAAAAAAAAAAACAACCAGCACATTAAAAATGAGCAGTTCTTTGTAATGAAAGCTTTGAATTTCTAAGCACTTCCATAAAATGTCCGCCCACAAACAGAGGCGCCCCCAGCAGACAGCTCTGCAGCCCAGACACTCGCCGGCCGGCTTGACGGAGACTCACCAGCGACCGCAGGGCGGACGGTGGCCCTCACGTCTGGGAAGCACGGCTCTATGCCAGACCTTGTCACGTCGGCCCACGTCGAACCATGTCAGTGAAAGTGGTCCCAAGTTTATGGGCTTCACGGGAAGCATCTATTCAAGGTGCTCACAGCTGCTCAGGGCCACAGGGCCTCACCGCAGGGCTCAGCATGAAAGTCTGATTTCATTACATTTATGACCCGACGCCCACCCACCCCCACCAAGCCCTCCTGATTAAAATCCTCTGCAAACCAGTTAAAAATATCAGAAAGAGAATCCAGAAAGATGACGTGACATCTGAGAGAACGAAATATAGGAGGTTTAGCAAAAATAATTCCAGAAGGAGGAGAGAGCTGCACAAAACGATGAAAAAGGCATTAAGTATGAAAATCCAGAGATGAAGATGTATCCGAGGAAGGACTTTCTTCTGCACGTCTCGTGCATTAAAAATGAAAAGGATGCTCCTAACGTATAAAGAGCCGTTAACAAAGCCCTAAGGTCAACAGGCAGCTGAAACAGGACGGATGGACGGTGCAGAGGGGACAGGTGAACGAACACCAACGGCCGGAGGAAAAACAAAGGAACAGGCGGAGCCTCTGGGTCCCTGTGCGAGGGGTGGGGGTGAGCGCGGGCACCTCAGCCGGACACAGGCCCCGTCAGCTGTCAAGACGTCACCAAGAGCTTAACCGTCTGTATTCTTTGACCGGGTCATCTGACTTAGAGCTACCTGTCCTTAGGGAATGGGAGCTGCACCCAAAGAGTAGGTGGAGTAGGTTCAAAAGCAACAAAACGAGAAACCATCTAAATGACTAGAAGCAGGGGAACAGCATTTGTTAATAACGCGGCAGATCACAGAACGAAACACCTGTGCCGCTAAAACCTCGTTTTTAAAGGAGTAAAAAGTGCACCAAGAGAAAAGGCATCAAACGGGATGAGAAAATAAGCACGATAAAGGTGCCCCGCAGCGTGGCTGCACCTGTCCCAGACCCCGCGGGACCCCCAGAAGGAAACCCGCCGATGAGGGAGGGGGGACTTCCACTTCTTCACGCTTTTCTGCGCTTCTCCAAATGTTCTATAATGACTATTGTACTTCATCTAAAGAGATAAAGGTCATTAAAAATCCTACCGGAAATGTCTTGAGAGAAGCGTGCAGCTGCAGGGGTGCCCACAGGCCGGTGACCTCACAGGCAGGTCATTCTCTCCAGGCCGGGACTTGGCGACTGCAGGAGGCCTGGGGCCTGAGGGGGAGGACCCAGGGCAGTGTGTGTCCTGTCCAGGTCACCGACTCAGAGCCTGCAGACTGGGTGGCACTCACTCCGTGTGGTTTGTTTTAGAAATGGGAGAAACACTCAATTTAGCAGATGTAAAGCCACACGGTCATCTCAATAGGCACGGAGAACGCATCCAGTGAAACTGACCACCTCTCCATGATCGAGAACGCTTAGCATCTAAACTGGACGGAAAGGGGAACTTCCTTAATCTGACCAATTATATCTTCAGAAATTAAAAAAAAAAAGCCTACAGAAATCACACACTCAGTGGTCAGGTACTAAAAGAATCACTTTAGAAAAGGCTTTGGACAGACCCCAGGCAGCATGTGTGAATCTCCCGAGGTGGCCGAGGAGCCGGAGGGCGGGAAGATATGCTCTCGGTGTGGAAAGGACTGCCGCGCGCCTGGTACCAAGAACGAAAATAAACTCACGATAAGACACATCACTGAAGTACAGAATTTGGGTACAAAGAGAAAAATTCCCTACTTTATGCCACACACACCTCCAGGTAGATCACAGACTTCAATAAGAAACTTTAAAACTACTAGAAAAAGATAAAGGTGAAGGTCTTCCTAACCTTGGGATCAGCGGGCTTTCTTTAAAGATTGACATCATCAATGAAACCGACACGTTCAGCTGCATTAAAATACAGGACAGCTGTTCATCAAAGTGATAAAGAAGCCAGAAACCGATGAATGATCTTTGAGATCTAAACGTCTGTTAAAGGATCAGTGCATGGCAGGCGTGAAGAAGTTTCTGAGTGATAAGAAGACGACCCAACAGGGAAAGCAGCCGCACGTCAGGCAGAAGGCCTCTCCCAGCGGAGGCCCTAGAAGAGGCTGGAACTTCTGGAAGGCGCTGGGCCTTAGAGACCAGGGAAATAGCCAAGCACGCAGAAGCGCCTGTGCCTCCTGGACGGCTGCTCTGGGAGGGTGGCGGCAGGGGCTGAGCTGCTGCGGACGGGGACGGGGGTGGGGGGGTGGGGGGGTGCCCTTTCTGGACAGCAGGCTCAACACACACACACGCCTGGGCCCCGCCAGCCCGGCCCGGGGCACAAGGCCTGCGGAAACCGTCCTGCAACGGGAGCGGCCACGGGAGCGCGCAGAGCAGCCCGCAGGCCAGGAAGCCACGCGGGCACCGCCGGGCAGCAGCGCAGCGCAGGTAGCCACGGTACTGATGTCACCCACGCAATGAAGTACTTTACGGCCCTGCGGAAGGTTGGTCCCAGCAGCTGGCCCAGAACACAAGAGGCGGCAACTGAATGGTCTGAGCACACAGACACCCGCGGCAACGCGGCCGAGGAAGCAGAGGAGTGGCAAACGCTCGCGTGGTCACCGCAGCAGGGGGCGGCGGGCGCCCCAGGGACCCTAGGCTAAAGTTGAGTGGCAGGAACACGGTTATTAGTTTTATTATTACTCTTCAAAGTTACAAAAATTATGTACACTTTTGAATGTGTATTATATCTCACAGTCAAAACAAATGCCAAAGAAACCCTTACAAAGAGTAAGAGCTACAATCAACCAGCAGCCCCTCACACACGGCCCTATAACCTGCTGGGCGCTGGCTACACTCTCCCAAACTAGATAATCCACTTTAACTGGTTTTTCACACCTTGAATGGAGTCACCGCACAAGAGGCTGTCACACCACGAGCACGACCTGATTTCCGGGCCCTACAGTGACTCAGGCTGCAGCCGCCCGGGACCCTGCAGGGGCAGCTGCTGGGGCGTGGTGGCTGTGGTATCGTCCGGCAACATCTGTGTGGCAGGCAGGTCCCGCCCTTGCACAAGCAGAAAGAAGGCACACACCTAGTAAGATTTTAGGGTTGGTCAGGCCCAGCTGCACCACGGGGTTATCCAGGATGGCCTGAAACAGAGGGCTGTCGGGGTCGATGCCCTTGTCCAGCTCCTCAGGAGAGGGCCTGCGGTCTCCCAGCAGCCACTCGCACTGCGAACACAAGAGCAACAGCTGTTAGCGCCCTCCGGACCCCATCAACCCAAACACTGCAGCCAGGGCTCCTGGTCAGCTCCCAGGGCTGCCCTGACCGGCAGGGGCCTTGACAGAAAAGCCAGCCCAGCCCGGACTCAGCTGCTACACACGCCAGGACGGGCCGCACACAGGAAGCACCAGCCTGGCTTTGCTGGCAGATCCTGGCACCGCAGCAACGTAACGGCTGCAGCTTCTCCAGGCCCTGAACCGGGCGCCAGCTTCACCCGCCCGAGCGTTGGGAGAAGAGGTTGACACACACTGCACACCTGGGCTCTGTCGCGGGAAGCGGCCCCGGGCGTGAGCGAGCGCCTCTCGGCTCATCAGTGAGTGAGGAACGGCTAAAGCACAGGCCCACCTCGCCTCCCTGGTTCCTGTGGGCCAGGCTGGCTCTATTCCCGCAAGTGCACCAAGCTGTCGCCCCAGCCCCTCCCCAGGCAGCTCTCCATCGGCCGCGGGCCGTGTGCACAGGGTGTCACATAGTCACCCACAGGACATGTACGTTTTTCTGAAAGGCAAAGCCCAGAATTTTCTCAATATTTAAAAACTTGCATACTGTTTGAACCATCTACCCATTGTTTCACTTCAGAAGCAAAGTAACGGACCTCACGGGAAGGTAACCCAACACACAGCGCTCAGGACACACGTGGCGTCCCTGGGGCGCGGCCTGGTACTCACGGCGGCGTTCTGCTGGTTGTTGTTCACTCTGAGGGCGTCTATCACTTCCTTTTCATCGAATCCCATCTCCATCAGGGAAACGACGGCCTAGAGGAGAAGCCACAGGCCTCAGTGCCGTGCTCACGGGGGCCCCGGCAGCAAGGCTGTGGGGCTGAGCCGCGTCTCACGAGCAGCACCTTGGCAGGGGATGTCTTAAAGCAACGCCGTGGGGTTTTCTCTCTCAAAACGCCGTTTCCCTACAGCTCTACTGAAACACTTCTTGGTTTTCTGAACGACGGAGGGACGGAGCAGGAGGTGGAAGGCGCACCTGCTCTTGGCCAGAGGCTCGCCTTCCCACCCCAGGTCCTTCTAGGGGTGTCCCCGTGACTGTCTGGGTAGACCTGTCCTCACAACCTCACCAGCCTATTCCAGAGGGCTCGTCATCCAGGACGAGCGTGTCAGAGAAAGGTCACATCAGCAGTTCCCATTTGAGCGGAGACAAGAATGTCAGTGATTTGTGACACACTTTATCTTTAAAAAAAAATGAAACTAAAATTAATTCTGAACGTGTTTAACAAAATTTAAGCTGCAAGTTCAACACATGCTGCTTTCTGGAGGGAACACCTTTCGGACAGAAGTCACATAACGACACATTTCTTCATTTTATCCTTGACTTTTACTCTACAACCTTTGAAAGGCTCAACTCTGCCCAAAAAGGTACAGGCTCCATCCAAGTTTCAAAGGATTCTCTTAATTCCCGGAAGGTCGGACCGTGCCCTTTAAGGGCCTGACGTCATCTTCCCCCAGCTGTCGCACGGATGTCGGCTGGCCTCACGCCGCCGGCCCCTCGGGCCACCATGTGATGCTCGCGCGGCCCCGGCACTCTCTGGCCTCGTGGACACCACCGTGCACTGTGCAGTCAGTCTGGACTGTTTCAAAGCGAGCCCAACAGGAGCAGCAGCAGCTGCGGGCGGATCAGGAAGGGCGTTCAGCTGGAGCGAACGGCGTGCAGTGAGCTCTTCACAGTCAGCACTTTCTGCTTAGGATCCACTTCCTCTGCCTTCCGGGGCCACTTCCTGTCTCCAGGGCCCCGTGAGCAATCGCTGGGCGCAGAGCCCTCCAGGCGGTAGTATTTTGATATCAAGGTCACATAAAATCGCCCGGAACCTACTCTGAAACCCAAGGATAGGACGGCCTTTGCCACTGGTTTCAATAAAAACCATCCTCTCTCCAGACTACTGTCTCAGCCCAGGAAATGATGCCCCAGGACATCTGGGGGTGATTCCAGATGCTCCGCCCGCCTGTCTTCCCAGCACTGGGAGAGGGAACCTGCGCCCACAGGCCCTGCACGGTCACTGTCCTGCCTACAGCTGGGGGGGTCCTGGGGGTGGGTGTTAGGAGCAGGGGGTGCAAGGCAGCAAAACGTCTGTTTGGGTCTCAAGTCCAAGCCCTGCTGTCCGATCCAGTCTCCCCAGGATCTAAACTAACGTCTGGATCCTTACCGGCCCCTCCCCCTGACTGGGACAGGATCAAAGGCCCTACAGCCCCTCAAGCCTCGACACCCTTTTGGGAAAATGAGCATGTTAAGACGGTCAAGCACGACACCCGGAGGGGAAAGGCCTTTAAGTCGGTGACCAAGACCGTGAACTACCCGGCAGCAGCCCCGACGAGGCCCACGCAGGACCTCCACGGGAGAAAGCATGGAGCCCGACAGCCCAAGGACCTACCCACGAAGAGGCTGCCCTTCCTGAACAGGGGCCCAAGCGCCAGACCTGGGCTGGGTTCCCCAAAAGACTAAGCCAACGAGATACACTTCCTTCAGGACCGGGAAACTCGGGACTAAAGTAACACAGGTACTTCTGAACACACAGCAGAACTCAAAAAGGGAAAATCCCGAAGAACCAGGAAAAAGGAACAACAAACTAGCCTCCCAGAGGGTGTGCCCTGGGGGGATGGCGAGCACAGGCCTCATCAGGGCCGGGCTGGGGCCTAACATCACACACAGGACACCGACCTTGGGTCCATGCAAGGCAGGGGGCTGGAGCTTCAAACCAGGACCCTGAGCAGGGTCTGCATCCCCAGAGAGAGGGGCAGGGGAAGACCCACACCCCAGCGCCGTGGGTCACACTCCGCATGGCCCAGGAGCCCTGCCGGATGCTTAGCACGAAAGCTGGCCCCTGGCTCGGGGTCCCGCTCAACCCCGCAGAAGCAAACTCTGAATCAACCACACAGGGCACCCCACGGCCCGGCCACTGGGGAGTCCCATGGAAACACAAGCCCACAGGTGAGCCCACGATGAGGCATCGCACCCTGAGAAAACCAGGCCACAGGCAGAGTCAGGAGGAACAAAGAACCGGAGCCCTAACGCCTGGAGCAGACAGAGCTGTGATCTGAAAAAAACAGAACAGCCTCGAAATACGAGAAACAGCCAAGAAGGTTCAATTAAAGTTGAACCTAATGACAGAAGAGACAGTGACAAAGAACAGGGCGACGCGAAAGCATCAAACACGAGGTGACGGTGAAGAGGAGGCCGTACAGATGCACTACGGGCAGCTGGCCAAGGACAGCCAGAGGCACCGGGACCCCGGGCCCCTGAACCCCACAGACGCCGGGTTACCTGGTGGCCGGCAGCCTGACCAGCCTCCCCGCTCACAAGACGGTCCCCGAGGTGGGCGGGTGACCCTCCAGTCTCTGGGCAGCACCCCCGACCAACCCTTCAGCTCGAGGTCACTTATAATACGGACAGGACCCGATCGCGAGTTCTTCAGAAGATGCCAGGTGTGTGGACTAACTGTTCAGAGGAAAACACAGCCACCTGGATGCCAGTGAGGAAAACTTCAAGCTGAACCCGGGGACTCAAGGGGCCCCAGGCCTGTCTGCAGACTCCTCCCCCCGCCTCGCTTCCTACAGGGCCGGCGGCTCAGCCTGCGGTTGCCAACGTGGCGGCAGCTTCCTCTGCACGACGCGGCCTCGGGAGCCCGACCAGCACCTCTGCCTGCCCGACCCAGGCCCGTCAACACGTACCCGGGCATCTGCGCGGAACTCCCTTTTCCTCCGGATCTTCTTGAAGATCTCCGTCAGCTCGTCTCTGTCCTCCTCACCTTCTGCGCTGGTCCCGGCGGCAGCGGCGGGGGCGGCCTCGGCGCCCGCCTCTCCCTGCAAGGCCGGGCCTGGAAGCGGCGTGTCTATGGTGGGGTCTTCCGCGTGCTCGATTAGCCACTCCATGGCCTGGGGCACCGACATGCTGCAAGGTAAGACGGGCTCTGTGCAGCACCCCCAGGCCAGGGAACCAGGGCCTTTGTTTCCCCAAGAAAAGCCTCTCAGACTTCATGGCTTCCCTACCACGAGCTGCCGACCCCTGTAATGAGAATCTGGCATGTCTGGAGCCCTGGCCCTGCCCCAAACTGCCCTGAGGCCCCGGCCAGAACACGGAAACCCACGGGCAAAGTAAAGGGAACCAAACCCGGGAGGTACACCCGAGAGTTTGGGTCCAAAGCAAAGAACACAGCCCACTGACCATCCGTCAGTTACAGATGATTTATTTCAGATCTGAACATAAACGAAGGGCAAGTAACTAGGACAGGAAACGACAGGGGACTGTTGAGGACACCGCCACATAAACTTCAGGAGTCGACCACGGCCCTGCTGCGAGCAGGCTTCGACTTGAGTTCCCATAAAACAACAGCCCAGTGAAATGCACAGAACCATCATCATACGTCACGTTCCCAGTACGTGAGTCGATTTCCAACTGCCCTGAAACACCTGGAGATGCCCAGTCACGTTACTTCCGGGACATGCATTTCAGGTCCTCTTTAAACACTCACACGTATTGGAAACAATTCAATCAAAGGGTTTGGGTCCCACGGGGGACCCCACAAGACCAAGCCTGCCGCGTGTGGCGAGGGAGCACGTACTGGTTCAGCCGCAGGGCCTTCACGGCTCTGCTCTCGGGAAAGCCCATCTCTGTGAGCTGCCGCAGGGCCGCCTCGTCCACACGGCCGTCCTCGTCCTCGTCCAGCATGGCTGCGGGCAAGACACGGCACTGTGAGGGCCTCAGGCAGTGCCCGGCCGCGCGAGGGGTGCTCGCCCGAGCCCCCTGGGGGGCCGCCGCAGTGTCTGAGCACCAGGCGTTTGCAGCAAGTCTCTCACAGCTCAGAAAAGCCGCGAGGGGACCATCGGCTGTCACCTGCGTCAACACGGGACGGCGGGGAGAGCGGTTCACCAAGCCTCCACCCACTGGCCCTTTCCAGGTGCAGGGAACGGCCGAGGGTGAGCGTCCACCCTGGGGCTCGCTCCTACCGTTTGCCTTCTTAAATAATTCCACCGCGTCCGGGTTCAGCGCCAGCAACTTCTGTGCCACCTCGATGAGAGACACCAAGATCTTCCGGAGCTCCGTCTGGAACTGCAGAGAGAGGAAAAGATGCCCAACACAGCTACTTGGATCTGAGATGACATGCCCTGTCCTAAAATTCCAGATCTGTGAGTCACACGATGCCCAGATAACTGAGGAGAACAGTGAACGAAGTGTCTCAGGAGGGCGGGAAGGAGAGGCTCTGGCTGGCACAGAGTGACACGGCCTCCCGCCGGTGACACAGACACACCAACACCTGGTGTGGTCACTCAGCCCTCCAGCCCACGAGGAAGGCGTCTGGCCCACTGGTCACTAAGTGAGCTGAGAGCCCTCCTTTGGCTTCACTGAAGAAAAGTGACTGATTCCACGGGCTCCACAGACGCAGGTCTCTAATTTTCACCTGCAGCCGATTCATCTTCTCAAAAAGCGGGGCTGCTGGGACTGTCATTAGAACCCCCCCCGCCAGCTCCCTCCCCCAACCCCCATAAGTGTCGGCCATCGCGAGAGACACACACACACACAGGCTGGGAAGAGACAGGTGTGCCCGGGTTCCAATGCCCTGATCAACGAGGAACTCTCTGGAAGAGACCCCGGAGAGGGGTGTTCCTGAAGCGAACCAGCGTGAGGCAGAGATGCCCGACTGGCCCTCGGTCCCGGGGGCGGCCGCCCCGCTCCTGCCCGGCCCTCCCTCCGGAGCACTGGAAACACCCAGCCTTGCTAACACAGAACTTTCCGACCCAAGATAAACAAGAGTCAGATTTCCCTCTGGAAGCTTTTTACCAAACTCAGGACGAAACTAACGTTTTTCCCATAGTACCTATCCTTCCAGTCCTGCCTTTCAACGTCTTTTCAAACTTTATATTTTGAATTAACTTGTTTACAAGAAGCTCCAAAACAGTGCACAGAGCTCCTGTGTCCCCTTCCCCAGCTCCCCAGGGGCTTCCGGGAACTCCCGCAGCCCCACGCGGCGGGTGGCCACAGGCCCTGCGGGCACTCACGTCTCTCGCGCTGGTCTGCACCACGGCCCGGTCCATGTCACAGGAGGGCAGGTTGGCGGTGGCTCGGAGGATAGCATCTCTATCCGGGGCTCTCTGCGCTTGTTTTTTCTAACACAGAAAAGTAATTGGAAAGTCGGAAATGAGTAAAGAGCAGCAAAAGGCCAGACCATGTCTGCTGAGTAAAGAGCTCTAGCCAGGGGAAGCACGAGCGTCCTTGGGAGCTGGAGCCATATACCCCCTGATGAGCAGGGAGGCTTCTGGAGAGTTCTGTGCACGGCCTCAGGGACACACAGGGGACACAGTCGCGGCCCGCTGGCGCTGGAGCGTGGCCGTGCGCGACACAGGGAAGACAGACAGTGTCTCCTGTGGCACAGAATGCCCACCACATGGGAGTGGCGGCCGCGCGGGCGACTGCAGAGGACCACGCAGGCTGGCCGGAAACACGCCCTCACCTCTGCTCCTTCGGGAAGCCCCGCATGCGACGGCAGAAACAAGAAGAACAAAGGAAATACAACTGGGAGAGACAGCACCGAATGCTCAGAGGACGGCACACAGCTGGAAGGACAGCTGGAAGGATGAGGCCGAGTGCGGGGAGGGGGCGGGGCAGGGAGGGGAGCGAGCCGCTGGAGCCGAGAAGCCCGAGCCGAGGAGCCGAGGAGCAGGGCCGCTGTCCTGGCCCCACGCCCTTGGCTCCCGGGACGCTGGGCACGAGGGGCGGCCACGACCCGCCAGGCACAGAGCAGCCTCCCAGGGCCGCTGACGGGGACGTGAGGAAAGCCTGCGACGTGAACGACAGAGACCGAAACAGAAGCCGGAAAAGTAAGAGAGGGTGAAGGAAGGAGAGGAGCTTGAAAAGAGAGAGCCCTGTAACACGGCCCTCGGAGGGCCAGGAGCACAACAGGACGCCGCGACGGGTAACCTGAGAACAGGCGTCTAGCTGGGAAATTTAAACATCTCTCAGAAAGCAGGTCCGACAGCCAACAGGAGGTGCAGAAAGAGAAAAGACAAAACGCGGGGGGGAAATCGACCAAAACAATCCAGAAAACTTCCAGAAACTCCAGCTTCCACGTGCCAGGCACAGCGAATGGGGAAAGACGTGCATCAAAGCGAGCCGTGAAATTCCAGATGGAATCAGGGAGGAGGAAACAGACCACGCAGAGGAAGGAAGAGTAGAGCTGACCGGCTCCCACCCGCCACACAGACACCCTGGAGACGGGGCCAAGACCTCCATCGCGCACGCGGCTGGCGCTCGCTCAGCAGCCACCGAACGCTGGACGCAGGGCCTCCAGACCTCCTGCCCTTCCTTGAGGCTGGAGGGGGTCTGGTCCCAGCGAACCAAGAATAAGTCAAGAGCAAGATGCTCAGCCCCACGGCAGGCACGAGGTGGAGACGACGCTCAGCCCCACGGCAGGCACGAGGCGGAGACGACGCTCAGCCCCACGGCAGGCACGAGGCGGAGACGGCTCCAAGACACCCCACGGCCCTGCCCCTGGCAATCACGGTTGCACGACCCTGGGCCTGTGGCGGGTGGATTTCACTCTGGGGTTAGGTCACATCACACAGTACGGCGACCTGAAGGACGTGACCCTCGGTGGGCCTGACCTAATCAGGCGAGCCCTGAATCAGGACGGGGCTAACTCTGGCCATCAAGTTTCAAAGCAAGAGGGATCCAACGCGTGAGACCGCCCGCGGCTGGCTCTGAAGACGCCCTCCAGGAGCCGAGGGTGGCGCCGGCTCACAGCCAGCAGGAAAACAGGGCCCCAGCCCTCCAAACCACAGGAACTGGATTCCGCCAAACCCCTGAAAGAGCTGGAAGCAGAGCCTCCACAGAGCCTCCAGAGAGGGAAGCAGACCTGACAGCAACTCCCAAGCTCAGGGCCCAGCTGAGCCCACTCGCCGTGGACCCAGTGAGCAGTGCACCACCCGGGGCTGCTCCGAGCTGGCAGGCCTGCGGTCAGGGAACACGCAGACACGGGGGATGCAGGAGGACCCGCACAGAGGGAGGCAGGCCAGCCCGGGCTGCACAACTGATGCAGGTGGACGGACGGAAGGATCTGAGGGGCATCTTCCAGGAAGTGGGAGCGGCAGATGGCCTCACACTTATGACCCTGTTTTCAGAGGGGTTTATCAATTTTGGTGCAGAATCTGAAATACCAGCGATAAGCCTACAGAGAACAAACAAAACAAGGAAACAATTACTGACTCCAGGAAAAACAAAATTCTACGTAAAGAAAGGACAGCTAACCTTAGCAAACTGCTCACTGCAGAAGGCAACACTTACATGATAGTAACAACAACGGGGACTCTGAATCTTTGACCAACGTTATGATCTGACACTCGTGGCAAGAGCTAGGGGGGAGGCTGGGGGAGGGGCTACCCAGACCACCAAGAAGCAGCCAATAGCGTCTAAAGTTGAGAATCCAAGAAATAACAATAAGACGTGTTATTTAGAAATCAGAAAGAGAATCACAGTGGAAAGAATTACAAGTGGTTGCCTTTCGAGTGCGTGACTCAGGACGGATAGGAGGCTACTGACTTTTATTAGAACATCTGTAGTATTATTTGACGTTCTAAATACACGTGCTACTTTGACTTTAAAAATTAATAAATCACAAAAACGGACGTTAACATTTTACAATATTACATTTTACAAACACGCACAGAAAAAAAGGTGAGGGCCACGCCCTGCAAGTTACCCAGAGCCGTGGGGGTGATGGGAACCCGCTGTTCACGGTCACCAAGGTTCACATTGTTGCCAACGACCAAAATGGTAACCCGAGAACCGGATCCACCCAGCAGTTCTGGGAAACAGGGCTGACTCAGGGGCAGGCCCCAACGGAGTGGGCAGCCGTGCCCGCAGCCTGCCATGCCGAGGCAGGTGTGGCTGCAGATAAGAAGGGCCTCCTCCCGGCCGCCTGTCCCAAAGGAGACCCAAAATAGCTCGTTCCGCCACCAGGCCCGGGGCCCGGCCCAGAGTCTGGCCTGCCTTCTCTGGGGTGAATGCTCCCGGGCGTTCTGAAGCGTAAGTAAGAAACTCTACCCCTGGAGCCAAGGAAAGATGGGCGTTCACGTGGCTGCCCCCCAGCACGGCACTGCTCTGTCCCGGGCATCTGGCCTCAGAGCAGAAAGAGGCCTGTTGACAGAGTAAATCTTCCACGTACACATGAGCCTCCCAAACCAGGCTTTCTGCGGAGCGAGCTTCCGGGGCGGCCACTACACAGGCCACGAGCGGCACAGTCTCCCCAGGGCGCCTGCGTCAGAGGGAAGACTCAGCCACGTGGCAGCTCCAAGGACTGACTCCGCGACGGCCGCTGCTCCCAGAGCCTTCGCTGCCGCCCCTGCACCTGCATTCCTTGCTTTGTGGGTGGTCTTTAGCGACTTCCTAACTTTCTTCTGTCAGGACTTGCTTGAAGAGAGGAGGGACGGGAGCTCAAGATTAAACCCGACCCCGAGAACGTGCCGCGATCTCCTCTCTGCAGCCCCCAAAGCAGAGCCGGTCATCAGACCAGCCACCAGGAAAGGCGTCGGTCAACTGGCCAACCGGCCACAACAGAAAACCCCGTGACCGTGCCTCCTGTGACCACGGGACCGGCAGGGTCCACAGACAACCCGCGTACAGATGTTTCTGTTCACATCTTCAGTGTGGGAGACCTCCCCTCACAGCGACATCCGCTTCCCAGCTCTGACACTCACCTTCTCTTCTGCGGAGACGTCAGCCATCTTGGGGAGCGGGGCTGGAGCACGTTTCTTGATCAGCAGTAAGACATCTGGGAAAAAAGCGCGCCACGCTGGTTATTACCTCATATCCACAAAAGCGGCATAAAGGGCACCAGGTGACCCAAGGACCGAAAAGCAGGGGTCCCCTCTGGGCCCCTCCTCCACGGAGCGTCCACACAAGCCGCAGCCTCCCTTCGGCTCCCACGTCCGCCGGCCCTGCTCACCTCCAGGCTCAGGCCTGGCGAGAACCTGGCTGAGGGTCACCAGAGGGGCCCGGCATTCTCGTTTTAAGGGCTTTTCTGTTTTGAAAGTCTGTGAGGTCGGAGCATCTGGTCTCACCCTCAGAGCTAAGCACCTGGGGTGCGGTGAGGCCACAGTCCACATGTGGTCAGCGCCCAGCTGGCTCTGGGCTTGCCAACCAGACGCTAGGGAGGTCTGCAAACGATATTCCAGTATTTCCAGAACAGATTACTTAAGGGAATCCCACAATTAAAATCATGCTTGCCTCCACACACAAACCTCTGAGTGAATAAATGGATGTGTGTACGTTAGAGCATCTTCCTAGATGTCTGAAACGACCGCCACAGCTGTACTTTCCAGCCCCCAAAATAAAGCCTGCAGCAGCTCTGGGGACCTTGGTTTTGCTTGGAAACAGAATTAATAACAAAGTTCAATTTGGTTTCTCAGACGCGCGCTGCTCGTGCAGCCTCAGGGTCTGCTGTTTTCTTCCAGGGCGCACACTTGTCTCCATAAAGAAAATGAAGCCGTGTCACCGACGCGTCTCCCTGCTCAGCCCCACTCGGGACGTCCTCGCTGCGGGTGCCACGCCCTTGCCCACTCCTGGCCCGCGAGGCGCCCTTACCTTCGTCCTGGACGTTCTCCTCCAGGAGGGTCTTGGTGTCACTCAGCACCCTCTCCGAAGCGGCGTGGATTAATTTGTGGTGGGTCACACTCTTGGGGTCCTCTAAGCTCCCATGAGCGCACTGAAGAAAAAAACATAGACGCTGTTTCAAGACAGCAGGTCAATTAATCACGATAGTAATAACACAGGACCTGACACCCAAAGCCGCACCAGGAATTTACCGGTTTTCTTACTAGCTGAGAAATTAAAGCAGAGGTGACATCAGAGAATCCCTGGCAACGGTGGAAGCCAAAGGAAACGCCACAGCCCCTGGTCCCCGAGGCCAGCACTCGGCCCCCGACCCGCCAAGTGCTCGCCAACAGGCTCACAGCTCTGACGCAGAATGCCCTGTCGGCCATTAGTGGCTACCCGAATTGCTTCCTTAGCCTAGAAATATCTGGAGAGTGATTTAAAAGTGAAGATAGCAGCGCCGTCGTCTCCCAAGAACCTAAAGATTTAAGCATGATTTGTGCGCTTGTTTCCCTCCTTCCAAGGTAAGCGAGAGAGAGCTGAGAGAGACACAGCAGAGAGAGGAGGCCGGTCCCCGGGGGCAAGAATAGGGGCCTGGACACTTACACACCCACAAAACCCCGAGGAGACACGACCAGCCTCGGCGCGGCCCCCAGCTCACCAAGCGACGGCCAGAGACCTGAAGCAAGCTACAGACGTGGCTGGGGGCCCCTCCTGGGAGCCCGAAGGGGCTCACCTGGCACGTGGCTGTGTCCCACTGGTCAGCGGCCCACAAACCCCAGAACACACACTGAGGGGGCGATGCTGACGCCCATGCTGGAGGGAGGCTGCTGCGACACTGGGGACACGCCCACCCCAGGGCCCCGGTGCCAGGGTCCTCACAGCCCTCCTCAGCTAAGCGGGGCTGCCTTAGCACCTCTGTCACCAAAGGTACCCTGCACACGTCACTGCTCACCCAGAGAGGAGCTAAGCCTGTACTTCACCTCTCAACAATGGCGTTTTAAGAGCAACTGGAGTTTTCAGCAATCTAACACTGAAAACAGGAAAAGCGGATCGTAAGGGCTGAGGGCAGTCACAGATGCACACAAAACTGGGGCTGGGGACAAAAGTGGAATCCAGCCAATAGTAGGACACACTCTGACCATTTATGACAGAGAACACCCCCCGCCCTGGAATCTCACAATGGCTCTGCTCCCAGAAGTACTGCGTGTGCTGCTTCTAATTCTAAAATTTGCAGGCTGGCTGATCTGCCAAGTTCATAATACAGTCTATGAAACACAATTTTCCGAAATAATCCTCATGCTGGTTCCTGAAAAAAACTGTGCTCTGCAGCGCGTCAACAGGCGCCAGGAACAGAGCACAAGCATGAGTCATCCATACGACGCGTGATGACTTCATTCTTTGTTCTCAGCAGAAGCAATGGAGCGAGCGGGGCTGTGACAGCAGAAGAGCCCCAGCAGAGCCCATCGCTGGGGGGGAGGCTCTGACACCCACCCAGTGAAGCGCTTCCTCCCCAGAAGAGCGGAGACTAGTTTCTCTTACCCTTGATGTCACGTGTCATTTGAAGATACACCTTCATGTGATCTAAGAAACGTTAACAGCCGTGCTAGCAGGTTATGTACTGGCCATTTCATGCAGGTTTGCCACACAGAAAACACCTACCACCTCGCAGATGTAACTCTCTTAAAATCATGAACCTCCTGTTACACGAGATGGTTTACTTTGCCCCTTTCTCCAAGCTTGGGCTGGAGACCACCATGGTGGTCCCAATCTATATGATACCAAGAAGGGGAAGGCTACAATAGCAATCCATTTCTGTAAGAGTTATGATAATAAACCTTCAATAATAAAGCAACTTTATTAATTAAAAATATATACATAATAAAAAAGTATAAAAAATAATAAAACTCCCAGGAGTACTGTGGGGGGAAGAAACGCACAGTGTCCTCTCAAGGTAGAGGGGACTGAGGAAGGAAGAAAGGCGGCAGCAGGGGAAAACCGGGAAGGAGGGACAGAAGCGAAGCAGCAACACCACTCAGGGACTGGTTTCCAGGGTGACATTCAAGTCCACAACTTGAGAACTCTCTTTTCTAACTGAAGCCTGCTGATTGGCTCACGGGGCAGCGAACGCTGCCCGCAGAATGGGATGGGCACGGAGGTGGGAGTACTTTCTGACAGCTCGGCTCTGAGTCCCATAATTTATGTCGGCTCTTTGGTTGTGAAACTCCCCTGCTGCTCAGGTCTCTGTACCTGGAGAGATCGCACAGTGGATAAAATTTCAGGTCAAAGCAGGGTAATGCCAGAAAACATCCCAAATGATACATCCCAACAGCAACGGGAATAACCAGTATCGGGAACATAATAATTAGCACCACGTGGAGACTGGCTGTCTCATTAACCCTGAGTGTGCTCCTGAAACCCCTCGGCAAGTGTCCGTGAATCAGAGTTCTCCCTTCGTGCCCCTCCATAAATCAACGTCAGGACAGTTACGCCAATCCTTTACCATCAGTGAGTTTAACTCGGCGCCACACTGATTTACCCACTCGCTTCTCCTGGCCTGATTCGGCAAGTGACACGCCACAGCCACGCGCTTCTGGACTGGCAACCTACTTCCGTTCACAGGCGTGCCTCGTGTTATCGTGCCTTGCGTTACGTCGCTTCACAGATACTGTGTTTTCTACAAACTAAAGGTTTGTGGCAACCTTGTGTTGAACAAGTCTACTGGTGCCATTTTTCCCAAGGCATTATTTTTTAGTTAAGGTATGTGCATTGCTTTTTTAGTCATAATGCTATTGCACACATAATGGTCTATAGTGTAAACATAACTTTTATATGCACTGGGAAAGCAAAAAATGCGTGCAATTCGCTTTATCGTGCTAGTCGCTTTGTTGTGGTGGTCTGGAGCTGAACCCGCAGTACCTCAGCAGTGTGCTGGTATTAATCCACACGTTTGTTATGGGCCCACCAAGAGCCTGGTCCTGGGCGTGTGAATACAAATCCAGCCCTCAAGGAGCTTCCGTCCTGAGTGGGTGAGACGCAGCGTCTCAGGGAGGTTTTTGAAAAACGTACTGGACAAGCAAGGAGCCTGGCCCTAAGCACCTGCGTGCTCGTGGGGCTCCCAGCCTTGCAGCTCACTGCTGTCGCGGTGGTTTTCTAGACGGTGCAATCACCTGACTGGCTCAGAAGTCAAAGAAGAAAGCAGCCAAGTGTGCGAGCCTGGATCCCCCTCCCCCCTGATGTGAGACTGAGACCGTTATTCACGTCCAGCGTGTTCCAGAAGGGGACTGCCAACCAGAACGCTCCCTGGCCTGTCGTCTGACAGTTACAGAACACCTCCACAGAACCATACTCCCAAGAGGGACCCAACAGTATTTTATAGGCAGTCACTAGAGCAGTAACTGTACGTTTATTCTTGGAGACCACACTGATAGATACATCACTTCTCGCATGGAATGTACACTAAGAGGCTGTGGCCTCTTTGTCCTAAATTCCGACATGGAGACACTAGACGGTGCAAAGGATCGAGTTTCCTTAGGCAGCCAGTTAGATAGATGTCTTGGCCTGCCATGCGGAGTCGAGAAGCTTACAGAGGCGAAGCCAAGAACTAGTTCCAAAAACTAGCAACCTAAGGAACTGGACAAGGAATACCTCGTGGGAACAAACTTTAGAAAGTGGCCCTCTCGGCGAGAAGCCCCTTCTCCCGGACCTACCCACGCAATCGCTGTAAAGGCCGCCGGGAAGCAGGGGCGCAGGGACGAGTCCCGCGGCCTCACTGTTTTAAGTGATTCCAGCTACGGGGCACCAGTGGCCAGGGCCAGGCCCCGGCCCCCATGCCAGCCCCGGGAAACAGCTCCAAGCAGCCGGCTCCGCAGGTCAGGAGAAGGCGCCTCTCCCGTGCGTCCCTACTTCCTCGGGCACTAATTCCCAGCTCCGGGAACCGCACCGCGGCAGCAAGCGCGGATGCTGGAAACGCTAGAGGCCTCGCTCCGGCGGCGACTTCGCCTCTCCCAGCCTGCGCTCCCGACGCGCCCCGCCGCCCGGGCTGTCGTCGGAGTTAAACCAGAGGAGAGAGGGTAAAACGTCCAGCCTGGGACCCGGCTCGCGGAGGCGCGTGCAGAGGGTGTCGGGGGCGGCCGGGAAAAGGGGCGGAGGGAGGGGGAGGCCTGGAGCCGCGGTCGGCCTTACGTGCTTAAGGCAGCGCTCCTTGAGCTTCTCCACCGAGGTGTCCTCAGTCGCCTCCTCCAGCCACTCGGCGCCGTCGGACGCGCAGACGTGCAGCCGCAAAACCTTGCCCGCGAAGATCTTCTCCTCCTGCACGAACATCGCGCCGCCGTCGCCGCCGCCGGGGCCTGCGCCCGCCGCCCGGACCCTGAAGGTCACCGGGGCGGGCCGGGGGCGGGGCCAGGCCGCCCGCGCGCTCCCTCGCTGGCCGCCGCCGCCGCCCCGCCCCGGCTCCCGTCGGCCGGCCGCCCGCCACTCGCCGCGACCCGAACCGTCGCTGCGCCCCGCCGCCTAGCCGCCGGGGGCGCGCTGTCGCCGCCGCGCAGGAAGTGCGTCACAGGGTGCGTTCGGAGCACGCCGGGAAGTGTGGTTTTCCGGCGGCCTCTTCGGCGTCGCCGCCGCGCAGGAAGTGCGTCACAGGACGCGCCCGGAGCGTGCCGGGAGGTGTAGTTCTCGGGCCGCTTCCTTCGTCCCGCACCTGCGTGCGATTTGCGGTGCTGGGCGGCAGCCACGCGGGAGCCGGGAGCTTGCGAGTCCGTTTTGAGATGGGATCTTAGTGTAAAATACACACCGGATCTTGAACAGTTGGGAGGAAAAGAACATGAAAAATACCTCAACAATGTTTATCTATTGGCTACATGTGGAAATAATAGAATGTATAGGGTTAAATAAAGTATATTGAAATCAATTTCACCTGTTTCTTTTCCCTTTTTAAAGCTCTGGCTACCAGAAGATTTTAGATTGTCTATGGCTGCTGTTGTGTTTCTTTTGGACTGTATTGCCCTAAAGCAGAGTCTACCTTGAGTGTGGCCCCCAGACCAGCAGCACCTGGGAGCTTGTTAGAAATGCGGGGTCTCCCGTCCCACCCCTATTCCCGCTATCAGGGACTCCAGGGTGCTGCCCAGCGCTCAGGCTGCAGAACTGCAGAGGCACACTCAGACGGGCTCGCGAGCACCCACATGGAAGGAAGCTGACCTGTGCACTCAGTACACTCATTTCTGTGGGGTGACAAATATGAACGCTGCAGTTTGGGCCAGACCTAGACCAGGTGACTGACCTGCACTCTCCCATCTCACTCATGCAAGAACGTTTGCTGAGCAGAGATGGATACAGCACAGTTCCTGTTCTCGGAGGCTGGTGGTCCCAGCATCTCATGCCTTCAGCATTTTAGACACACCTCATTTCCCCTATGACCATTGCGACCCCGTCCAAATTCCTTCTGTCCAGTTTAGCCTCCAAGAGCCAGACCCTCTGCTGCTCACCGAAAACATAGTCGTGATTAAGGCTAGAGACCAGGATATAGCCTGGGAATGGGCATTCTCACGCAGCAGATACAAGTGCTGGCTGTGGTGCCAACACGGTCTCAAAAGACAGGAGACCATGGGGGCAAGCAGGGCCTGGTGGGGTAGCACCAGGGGAGCTTATGGGACACAATGGCGTGTGAGGGCTGAGGAGGAGGAGAGGAGAATAACAGGATGGGCAGAGCCCGCGGAGCGTGCTGGAACGGAAGGGAATGGGCTGAGGGGAGGAGACGGGAGGACGGGAAGGATGGGGCAGGGGGCAAGTGGAGCCGGGTCAGCAGAAGCTCTGCGGAAGCATCTGGCTTTGGTCGTGGGGCTGTGGGGAGCGGCAGTGTGGATGGTGGTGACCGAGCGAGGTGGGGTCGGAGGAGGACAGGAGGGGGCCTGGAGGCAGGAGGCAGTCAGGAAGCTCCCACGTGCTTGCAGAGGAGTGATGCGGCGTGGGGGTGGGGTCTGAACGGCGCAGGGAAGACAGTGGCAGGAGGACGCGAGGTGAGCCTTGACGGGGCGGGGGCAGCTGTAAACAAGAACAGGGTGAAGAACGACAGGAATGCTTCCAGCTTGGGTGACAGGGTGCAGCCGTGCCACCTCCTGGAGGAGGGGGCGCCGCTGAGAAGGGGGTCGAGCACAGCCTTGCACCTGCTGACCTGGGAGCGCAGGGGGACTTCCAGGTGGAGGTGGCCAGGGGCAGCTGAGTGTGCAGGGCTGGAGTCAAGGGCAGCTGTCAGCTCGAGGGCAGTGGCTGAGACTGTGGTCCCCCCGGCCCTGCCTCCACTTTACACAGAGTAGTCTGCGGAGAAAACTGAGGGATAAGGACAACTTAAAGCTCTGGTTGTGGCCCCATGGACTCCAAAGGGGGGATTTCCAGGAGAAAATGAAAGCCTGTGGGAGAACTGGCGATGCCACCCATGGACTCAGAGAGACTGTCTTGGGGGCCAGGTTTAGCTCCGACTGCTGGGGCGATGGGGGCTCCTCGACAGTGGGGTGTCCCAGCTCTTGTTGGCATCAGTGGCCTCTTTTGTTCCAAAGTCATCTTTTTGCGTGTGTGGGATGAAGGCCTGGGGAGCCCACTTCCTTTCACTATGTCAGTAATAAACGGCCCGGATCCATCAGCAGCTCACGGGGCCTTTATCAGCTGAATCGGCCGGGATTTGCGTGCCCAGCACCCTTCATCCGATGAGTCTCCACCGACTTACCGATTCCTGACCTTGCAGCCTGTGCAAACCCAGCCCTTTCCCTAGAATGCAGGACCTCCTCCCTCAGGAAGACCGCCCCGGTTGCACCTCCTCTGGGGCACCACCTAGCATGCTGTGAGTTGCCCACCCATCTAATGGCTGACCCCGTTGCCAGGGCAGACCCCTGTAGGCTGGACGTCCTTAGTGATGTGTGGACAAAATATTCCTGAGGAGCCTGGATGTAAATAAGTGGTCTCCCATCAGTGGCACCTCCTCCCCAGAGGAGAGGCCGGTCAGTGATGATTCTCCCCTTGGGGGTGCAGCGGCGGGCCTGGGGCAGGGCTCCCCTCCCAGCTGCACACTCCCCAACCGCATCCGCTGGGAGCAGTGATGGGTGATGTCCTAGGACTCCCTGGACATCCTCGGTGGGTTCCTCCCCTTCTGAGCCTCCATCTCCTCTGGTACATAAGGATCAGGCTTCCATGTGTACACGGAGAGGGCCCCCTTCAAGGAAGGCCCAGCTGCCCAGCTTCGGGGAGCGGTCAGCAGACGCCGGGCCTTGTGAGGTCACGGCCCCCCCGGGTGGCTGGCCTAAGCGGCGTGTAGAGACCCAGACTCTTCCCGTGAAGGGGAGGAGCCGGCCCAGAGCTGGCCTAACCCTGCAGCCTCCCCGCCCCATCCAACAGGTGCTGGTCCCTAAAGCACCTCGTGCACCTGAACTCAGCCTTGCTTCCCAAGACCCCACCTGGCGCACTCACCTGGCTGCCCAGCATGTGTTTATGTAGCACCCACTGTGTGCTGGGTGCCGCTTCAGGGACTGGGGGTGCAGCAGGAATAAGGCAGAGAGAGAGAGAGAGCCCACACCTTCGCCCCTTCTGGGAGGTTCTCAAGATCACTATCGCTCTCAGAAACAAGAAAGGCCGAGTGGTCTGAGCGTGTCCGGCCCAGGCCCAGCCAGGAGTCAGCGAGCGCCAAGGGTTTCCCTGAGTGGGGCAGAGCCAGCCCTGGCTGCCGGGCCCGGTTTGAGCTGGCAGGGCCCAGCCCGCTGTCCCAGCCCGGCCCTGGGTCCCGCCCCAGCACTGACAGTCCCCGGGAGTGGCCCGAGCTGCCCTGGCTGGAGGCAGCCAAGCGGATGACCGCATCCCTCCCTGGTCTTCCTACCCCTGCCAACTCCTGCCTGGACTCAGCCCCTGGACCCCGAGCAGGCGTGCCTGGGCCACAAAGCCTGGGGAGGGTCTCCCAGCAAAGAGGGCTCCAAGTCTGGCCGAGAGGGGCGTGCACCCTGGCGTTCTGCTCACCCCAGGGCTGCCCACCCCTGTGAGGCCCAAACCTACAGCCTGGGCTGCCCGGCGCTACCTCGAGGCGGCCACTAGAGGGCGGGGTGAGCCGTGGTCTCGCGAGCAGGTGGACGGCCGGTTCCTGGGGGTCCCCCAAGGCCCCTGCAGAGAGCCTGTGGCGGGGGAGTGACTTCTGAGGACACAGCCGCTTGGTCACCATCCTCTTCCCCCAGCCCCGGGAGGGTTATAGAACGGGGCCGTGAGGGAGGACTAAAAGCTCTCCAGGCAGCAAAAGGGAGGAAGCAGGGGTGGGGGAAGGAAACTGAGGTGCTCCTACAAGAAGAAACAGCCCCCACTGCCCCTGTGGGTGCACGGGGAACCCAGTTTGAAAAGCACAGCTCTGGCCCAGCCCCCTGCAGCAGGAGACCCCAGGCCCAGAGAGAGGAGGGGCCCTGCCATGACCAGCTGCAAAGGCCACCTCCAGCACCTCCCAACCGGATGCAGGTGGGTCAGAGCGGGGCAGGGGAGTCTCAGACAACAACAGGAATTCAGGAATTTACCGGCTCCCAGCTCCGGAAGCCACAAGTGCGAGCTCCAGGTGCCAGCAGGGCTGGTTCCCTCCGAGGCCCTTTGGGAGGACGTTCCAGGCCTCTCTCCAGCTTCTGGCCTCGCCAGAAATCCTCGTGGTTCCTTGGCTGGGAAGCACCTCCCTCCAGTTGCTGCCCCTGCCTGCATGGGGGCCCCTCGTTCCAAATCTCCCTCTTGTCTTTGTGTCGCTGCGTCTCTCCTCTTCTCAGAGGACACGAGTCCTAAACCCCGGACTGAGGATCCACCCTAAATCCAGGATGACCCTTGACTGGTTACGTCTGCAAAGACCTGATTTCCAGATAAAGTCATTCTGAGCTTCCAGGTGGATGTGAGTTTGGGGGGGACTCAACCCCCAACTGAGAAGTTGTGGGCATTTACTAGTGGGGGGCAGGTCCCTAGCCTAGAGCTGCCCACCAGCCTCACCAGCTTCGGCTCCACCGGGAGGTCGGTTCTGTCTGGCTGCACCCGCCCTCGAGGCGCGGAGGCCTCAGCCTCCTGGGAAATGTAAGTGGTCCCAAGGTTAATTAATTAGTACATTAAAAATGCGCCTGTGGGGCTTCCCTGGTGGCGCAGTGGTTGGGAGTCCGCCTGCCGATGCAGGGGACACGGGTTCGTGCCCCGGTCCGGGAAGATCCCACGTGCCACGGAGCGGCTGGGCCCGTGAGCCATGGCCGCTGAGCCTGCGCGTCCGGAGCCTGTGCTCCGCGACGGGAGAGGCCACAACAGTGAGAGGCCCGCATACTGCGAAAAAAAAAAAAAAGCGCCTGTTAAGGGTCCGCGCAGACAGGAACGCATTCATCACCCATTTCCTCCGAGTGACAAGTGCATCTCCCTAAATTCCTCAGCTGCTGACTTAACCAAACGATCACCCCCGGCTCTGCCGTCTCCCATGATGTCACAGCTCATGAATATTCTGGCGTCGCAATTTGCTTCCTGAAAGGACAGACTTATTATTTCATCTTTAAGTTTA